TTCTTCAAAATAAATCTTCCACCCATCTTCGTGTGTTTTTTTTAAAGTCTGCAACCACAGAAGGGACAGGAAAGGATATACTAGCAACATGGCAAAATAGAGGGGGTAAAAATCAATAGTGAGAAGGCAATTTTAATAAGCTGCAGCAAGATGAATCCCTACCTGTTTTTGAACTCTAAAGTTCTTCCTCGTGGGAAATAGTTCAACTGTTTAGACAGAGACAAAAGCTGCATTTTGGTTTAGTTTACTATTCATAAAGGAACTGCTGTCTCCAAGCTTGTCTATAGTCAGAATTGCTTCTCTAACTCATCACTCCAACAACTTGGGAATATAAAATCTGCAGCCACTGAATAGCTGAGTAAACAGAAGGGCTGGGGAGAGTACTATTTTGAAAAATATCCAGAAGAGTTCTAGTTCATTTAAAAGTTTGTATATAGCATATTAATAATGTAAACCTTTAAATTCCACACATAATCTATCTCAGTAATCCTTAAAAAGAACCTGTGGGATAAGTCACTTTCAGCATCAGCATCATACCCATAACTGATGTTCTGGAATGGGGATAGTGAGGTTGGCGGGAAAGGCATGTGTAAGGCTGGTAATTCAGTTCTTTGCCCATTTCCTAACATAGCAATCAGTCACTTCACTATTCACTAACTCTCAAAATATAAATTAATAGGCATTTTAAAGCACTCAGTTGAATTGGCTGAGTGTACAAGCTCTGTACAGATGACTGAAAACAGAGTGCCATGAATGCACAAAGAAACAGAAAAGTCCACCATCAGGGCCCACCACTTACTTCCCCAGGTTGATAACCAAATGCTGGATTTTATAAACAAGTGTGCAACACTGTTGAGTTTATGGGTCTATTTGTTCACTATTGAACATTACAACACAACCTCACATACAAAATGAACCTCCTCTTATCAATCATTATATAACAAAACAGCATGAACAGTTATAATAATAACAAAATACTACATACAGTCCATGCACCCAAGTCGCTGCAACAACACCAATACAAAAACTGGTTGTAGAGTTTGATTCCAACTCAAATGAAAGAATACTCAGATTCTTCAGCTAGTCTGTGTATCCACAACACAGAAGAGTCAGCTCCACACAAAGAGTGTTCAAAAACCTGGAATAAAATGCCAATTCAATTTATGTGCATGAATTCACTATGTGGATTCACCCCTTCGACACAAACATGTAGGAATTATACCTAGACCATGTTGGCAAGGGCCTTAGTGGCAACAGCAGCTCCTGCCTCTTCAGCTTTCCCACTCTTTTTTATTCACATTTCTTATAGTCTGGCTCTTTCTTAGTTCCACCCCTTTGAGTTGTACCAATTTTTTGTAGGGGTTGCAACTGCACAACAGCACAGCATACTGGCATATCGGAACAGGCTACCCCATATGGCTTATCGGTACTTAGCAGGTGCAGTCCTGTTTCCTCCTTTATGTGCTAATGTACACAATCTTCTGAACAGAACTGTAGAATCACTTGGTCAGTGTTGGGTATAAATAATAAGCCAGTGTATATACACATTCAGATCCTGAAAAATGTGAACACATGATGTTACAAATTTAGATCAATCATATTGGTGTCTCTGCAAGAGCAAGTATTCTTGAAATAGCTTCTATTATATCCAGCTAACTTAACTAATGGAATTACAGAATATAGTCTTAATTATTTTTGAATTTTCTTTATGCAAACTTTCATCTGAGCCTCGGCATCTACAATCACTGTAGATGTATTACACTGTATTACACATGAATTACTTTTGCACTGATATACTGACATTATATCTTTTTCTGACTCCAGTATCACTTTCGATCTTTGTGTCTCTGTGCATCACATGTATGGCCTCTACACCTGTGTGGACTCTCTTATGGGGAAGATTTAATAGCTGAGAACTTTTTGGCAACAAGCCCTCCCTCCCAGCATCAGCATAAAAGGGATGGGCTCCTGCCATTTTCTTCAGTTCTTCAACCATTTTCTGTGCCTCAAGAAGTTCTTTCTCTGTCCTATTCTTTTTCCTCAGAGCATTTACCGCAGTTTTCTAAATAATTGTAAGTTGTTTTTTGGTCCCTTTATTTCCAAGCTCTTTACCTCCCTTCAAAAAACAAAACAAACAGAAATCCTCTTTGTCTACCTGCTCTATCTCACTCCTTCACTATCCTTGACTATTTTTCTTACCTCTCTGCCTAGTTCTCCCAATGGCATCCCTTTTATGAGAGTTTCCCTTTCATAAATGCATCCGTTACAATGCCAGGCTGCCCCCAACTGATGGACATTCTTTGTGTTTATTATACATGGAAGAAGGGCACACAATCGAGCAATGCCTGCTTTGCCAACGAGCTTTGCCCTAACTCCACAGAACTTAACAAAACCTATATAGCAAGGGATTTTGTATTTGGCAAAGTCAGAAGTAGAAATTGTCCATTTCTTGTTTTTGTAGATTTGTAGAAGGATTTATTTTTTATTTTTTATTTGATAGCAGTATTTTTCCCTAGTGAACATCTCTTAACCTAAGATTAGACTTAATTTTTTATGCTTTTTCCTCATTAATTTTTATTGAGAATTTCAATGTCAAAATAAAGTATTACAGCTTTGTTACATGCTGGCTGGGAAATGCTGGGACTTGTAGGAATTTATTTCTGTCAAATATATATAGTCAAATAGTCCATGTGTGGACGGGGACTCTTAGTGCTGTCCACTACAATGGAAAAGTGATGGAGTTTGACAAGGAATCAATATCAGAATATGATATTTGTATAGCTATCAGAATAAGGAAAAAAATATTGTGTAGAGTATGGCAAGTGAGAAATTTCTGTGTTTAAATGGATTAAAGAAATGTTTTTATATTTATTCTGCATATGTTTTTGCTTATTCGGTATTGCATTCTTTATACTGCAATTTGAGAATGAGTTAGGTAAGATTATTCAGAAAATTGGTGTATAGTGAGCTGCAATCCAATGCATCTTAGCTTACCTACTGAGCCTAGTAGGGTTAAGTTCTAAGTAAGCATCTATAAGCCTACATTGCTATGGCCAGTGCTGCTATTAATGGTAGCTTGTTAACTCTATTGGAGTTGAGCTTCTTGGATTTAATTGCTAAAGTGGACATGGTCATGGACTCATTGTCCGGAGCTGAAAAGTTGGCCTCCTCCATTTAGCTTGCTAGGATTTAATGTGCAACTGGTAACAGCTTTCCACAGCTTCACCCAAAGATCTTTCCCAGCCCTGCTATCCGAAACCCCCTTTAACCTAAAATCCGTTGAATGATGAGCATGACCTCCTCACTGAAGTCAGCCTGGTGCTGTCTTTTCAGCACCAAGCTAGGGTGGCCCTTTATGCCAAAGATATTCTTGGCAGGAAGGGAATACCTATCCCAGATGGTTTTCTTTAACAGCATCATTCTCCATTGTGTGTTTTAGATGTTTTTTTAAATTGTTTATTTAAAATCTTTTGGTAAGATTTTAAGACATTTTAATTGTACTTTTTATGTATTGCTATCAACTACCCAGAGAGCTTTAGCTATTAGGCTGTATTAAAATGGAATAAATAAGTTGCAACAGCAGCAGCAGCAGCAAAATACTCTAGCTCAGCTATGACCCAGCCTCAAGGTTCCATTTTTTCCCTTCTGTTGAAGGCTGCAGAATACACAATAATCTCAAGCTGGTTTCACCAGGGAAACTAGGCACATTTTCCCTTTCCTAGTTGCATTGTTTGCTTTTTATCCAAGCAATGATACCATCATTGTGAGCACGTATAGAGAAAATTGCCTGTTTATTTACTGTAGGGAAGAGAGTAGGATGGATACAAAGGACTATGACGGAAGGAAAACAGCTGCTGCTGTTCCTCAGATATTTGTGCAAAAGATCACACAGTGCTGAAGTAGCTGGGTTCTACTGCAGCTCTCAAGCTTCTGCCGCTGTCTGTTCAAGCAAAAGAAATCTCTGCTTTTCTTGGACAATACTCTGTTATGAGGGGCAAAACTGCCCTTCTGTGAGTGGAAGAGGCTTTTTGCATGCAGAAGGGCATCTTTCATTCCAAACTGATGATGTGAGCTCCAACTGTTCTAGGTTTCTTTTCTGTCTTTGCTTCAAGAGACAAGTTAATAAAGTGGCTGCCAATTTCAGACTGGTTCTCTTGGTGGTTCTGTCAGTATTACTGCTTTATGAAGGGCTTTGTACACTTGATGCAAATTATTCTAGGGATTTGAGTTCTAGTTCAGCTTGAAAAACAAAGTTCTAATTTATTATCTATAGTTATGTTGTATGCTTCCCGAGTGGGGCAACAGTAATAAAACAAAACTGAAAATAATCTCCTGGAAGGAAATCAAAACACCAGTACATGTTCTTATTTCCTAACATAAATAAGTTAGCTGAGATTCATGTGGGCTAATTAAAGCTGAACAGTATCTTCATTGCTTTTCCCCCCTCCTTCATTTTGGGAGTATGAGGATATTCTGAGAGGTGGCCAGCTACCCATATAAAGGCTGACATGCACTTGGGTCTTTTCAGTGGTGGCTCCTCCCCTATGGAACTCCCTCCTGAGGCATAGAGCAGGACCCATCTGTTCCTGTTTTTAAGAAGTTATAAAAGAAACATGATGTCCTCCCTGGATGTACTCAGAAGATTTAACTGCCCTTGTTATAGATAGTTATTTTAAAATTGTATTTTATTGGAGCAGATTTTATGTACAATTGTTTATATTTAATGTTATTTTGTGTATTTTTTCTAGTCTGTAAGCCAATTTGGGAAGACTGTGGTCTTAAGAGGCAGCTAAGAAATAGATTTAATACATAAACTAATGAAGAACAGCACATTTTTCTTGTTATCTGACTCTCAAGCAATATAACTGAATATATAATTGCAGTATAGTTGGCACTCTTGTGATAGGAATCAACTTACAGTTTTCTATGAAACTCCTAAGTGCCAGACAGCAAAATCTGATTTAGTACACACTGACAAAGATACCTCTTCTTTTTTGCAGATGAAGATGGCAAATAAATGTTGTTCTCCCTCAGACCAGGTATGTTTTTTTTTTTTAAATGACTCCTAGATGTCTGCCATTTTATTCTTGTTCTTTTCAGTTAGCTGAAAAAGAAATAGCCTACTCCAACCAAAGTCAACCACTTTTAAAAGACCCACCAACATATTTTTGTTAGGTCATTCCCTAACAGAAATATGTTACCCATAAAAGAGGTAGGCTGGGGCATGCCAAACATGATATTTTTGAAGGTTGTATATTAATATATGGTGAAATTGCTAACTCCAGGTAGGCATTCCTTACAGGATAGCATGTTTTAGCATTCATATATTTCAGCTAAAAAACAACATTTCAGCAATACAGGACCCCAAACAAACAGGATCAGAACAAATAATGATGATAGTGAACGAATGGTATGATGAAATACCTAATTTGGTGACTTGGTCTGAAAAGTGCAATGCCCTAGGCAGTCCTGTAGCCTGATCTATCAAAAACAAATCATGATTGTTCAAGCTGTATGGGAAAGGCAGCAGAGTACAGGAATTTTCCATTCAGGAAACAAAACCCTCAAACAGCAAGAGGCAGGGAGGGAGATTTCAGCCTACCCCTTTGTTGACAAGATCCTTTGCTTCTCTGCTTGTGCATGCGGGAACCCATACTCTTGAAATGGTATTACTTAGCATACTGGTATATGAATAGCCAGCATGGAGGAGACTGAGATGCTGCATGTGCCAATGAAGGGCCTTGCAACTGAAAGACCAATGGAGCACAATGGTTCTAAGAGGAATGGGGAGATAGGTGAGGCCCTAGTCACTTAGATACCTAGTATACTAATTATTCTGTCAGCCTATTGAAGTAGCACTGGAATTTCAATGTATTTATCAAGAATACTAAAGCTGACATTTCAGTTTAATAATAATAATACTAAGGAGGAGGAGGAGGAGACGAAAGATTTTGAAGCAGCTCTGCTTTTGAGCTTTCCTTACCAAATGCTCCCAATGAATAGATTCCTCACACAGGTTTCCAGCCATGTGTATCTGGGCCACCATTCATGAAATGCGACTTCTTCCTTTCCTACTTCCTGTGCTCCCTCCAAATTTGCTACCCAGAGCAGATTTAGAGCAGGTGGGGGATGCTACAGCAGGAGAGGGAACACAGTTGGATACAACACCCAATCAAACTATTTTTGATACTTGAGGAACAGCACCTGCCTTTTCTGAAAGGAAAACCAGGGATAAGGGAAGATGACAAGGCAATGCCAAGTGTGCATGTCTTTGTCTGGATTGCACTCCATACTGTTTATTTAACAATATGCATTCAGTGCATAGAGTTCAGTTCAGTAGAGTATTTGAAGACTATTTAGTTGTCAAGAAAAACATTAATGTCTGGATTAAACTGCTCTCTGGTTGTTCTTGCAAAAACGGAAAAGTGCAGCAAAGTTTCTGAAGCTTTAGCAGCACCAAGTTGCTAAAGGAAATTGAACACTCGGAGTGATATGACTATAATAGGGTGTGTGTGTGTGGGTGTGTGTGTGTGTGTTGAATAAAGAATATGATAAACTGCAAACATTGTGTGCATGTGACATCAGACTTGGTGGAGCATATACATGAGCATGTAATTGTGAGATATGTACACAAAATGTGCAGTTAGATAAAATGAATGGCAAATACTCTAAGCAGCCTAAGATATTATAATCTGTAGAAATATTGGAAGCAAGATTGAAAATTGCAGTGCATGCATTCATGCATGGCATAAACATGTAAAGGAAGGAACTGCACATACCTCCTCCATATTGTAAGCACATGAATCTTCAGATGATAGCGATGCATGAGTCTTTGGAAATATCAGAAGCATAACTTGACACTTCCTCTCGTCACACACTGTGCAGCAGTCACTAACTGGAAGCAAGAAATGGATAAATCTATCCATTTTAATTTCATTTAGTACATGATGTCTTTGACATGTCATTCTTTGACATGATGTCTGGCCAGATTGATCAACAGTCCATGAATTTCATTTTTACAGTTTTCACAAAAATTTATATGCATATCCTTCTATGAGTGTACTTTTGTGTGCACTTTTCTTTGTGTGCATTTTTCTAAATTTACATTTTTATGCAAGAAGTTTTCCTTGTAACAATGTTTTTATGCATTAATTTCACTGTTGTGCACATTTTTCTGTGAACTTTTCCATAGCATATGGATTTTTGTGCATACCTTTTCATAATGTGAATATGTTAGGATTCACATTTTTGGGTAAAGAAGTGTAGCACCTGGTTACCTAAGGAATGTTTACGTCCATATATGCCCTCCCACCCCTTGAGATCGGCAGCAGAGGCCCTTCTCCGGGAGCCCTCCGTGAAAGATACTAGGAGGGTGAGTACCCAGAGGAGGGCTTTCTCTGCAGTGGTGCCCAACTTATGGAACGCGCTCCCCAGAGAGGTCCGCCTGGCGCCGTCGTTATTTGCTTTTCGGCGCCAGGCCAAGACCTTTTTATTTAAATGTTATTTTAATTGTTAACTTTATTTATTGATTTTAATAATTTCTTGCCAGAATGTCTCCAGTATTTTACGTAATTGTATCATTTATATTTATTTATGTTTGGAAGCCGCCCCGAGGCTTATGCAAATGGGGCAGCATATAAGTTCTCCTAATAAATAATAATAATAATAATAATAAATAAATAAATAAATAATAGCACTTAAAGAAAGTATAAATTTGAATGCACAGTTCTTTTCAGGTTCATTCACATACAAATTTGTTATTCTTACATAAGAACAGTTTTTCCACTCATCTTGAGAACACATGTTGGCATGTAAGGCGTTCCTGATTCAACTACATTCAGGTATGATTGGGAAAGAATCCATCTAAGATCCTGAAGCATTGCCAGTCACTGTTTGCAATACTGAACTAGAACAACCAATGACTTGAATTTGTATAAAGCAGCTTCCTATGTTCTTCCTATGTATGTCTGAAATTACTCCTATAAATTATACATCTGTTTATTTTATCTCTGTTACATAAACCACTCCAGAACTTTTAGCTGTACAAATTTGATGATAGGCAAATTCAATCACGCCCATAAAAGCCAAGTTCGTTATCCTAATTACTTCAACATAAGCTTTTTTTCTTAAATAAGTTGTGTTTTTCTATGGTTTGTTTTGACTTGGTTTAAGGCTCATATATCTGTCTCAGTACAAAATGAAATGTCAGCCCAGTAGCATAAACTTGTAAAACATCTTTTTGAAATTTGGAGACTGTTAACTGTTCCTGCTTTCCAGATATTAACACTTTTTTGATTCTTCTTGTAGGGTTTATCTTAATGTTAAAACATTAACATAGGGTTTATCATAAAACATTCTAGCTCCTCCAAAGATAATCTTAACAGTTGGTCTTTTATATACATGGGAAGTTGGTCTGTAGGAAATCCTGTTCCTAAGTTGTTTAGGCTTTGTATGACAATTACATAAACTTGAGCACGACTGGGTACCTAATAGGCAGCTAGTACAATGATTTTAGTACAGATCTAGCATCACCAGGTGTGCCTTTGAGTAGGCCAGCTACTACGTTCTGTATTAGCTGCAGCTTCTGAACTAGGCCCAATGGCAGTGCTGCGTAAAGTATATTAAATGTAAAGGTTTCCCCATGACATTAAAGTCCGGTCATGTCTGACTCCAGGGAGCAGTGCTCATCTCCATTTCCTAGCCGAGGGAGCCACCATTTGTCCACAGACAGTTTCTGTGGTCGTGTGGCCAGCATTACTAAACACTGAAGTGCATGGAACACTGTTACCTTCCCACCAAAGTGGTACCTTTTTATCTACTTGCATTTGTATACTTTTGAACTGCAAGGTTGGCAGGAGCTGGGACAAATCAACGAGAGCTCACCCCGTTGTGCAGATTTGAACTGTCGACCTTTCGGTCAACCAGCCCAGCCGCTCAGCAGTTTAAACCACTGTGCCACCGCATCCCCATAAATTACAGTAGTCTAATGATGAGGTAACCAGTTGATGGATCACAATGGCCAGATTGTCCCTTTCCAGAAATAGGCGTATTTGGCATACCAACCAGTGCTAATAGTAGGCAATGTGGGTCGCAAAGATGGATTGAGGAACATCTCCAAACTATATAACTGCTCCTTCAGAGGATATTCAAGCCCATCCAGAACAGGCAAACAGCCATATTCCAGGACCTGGGAACTGTCAACCCACAAGGTCTCATATATTAGGATTTGGATTCATTTTGTTAGTCCTCATCCACACCATAGCTGGATGCAGGCCCCAGCTGAGAATGTTCATGGCCTCTCCTAGTTCCAAACTCATAGAGAAATAGATCAGGGGGTCATCAGTGTACTGGTGACACCTTGCCCCACATTCCCTAATGACCGCTCCAAACCATTTCACCATGTTGCACCCCACAGTTCATGGATCTGAAAGGCAATCCCCCAGTACTCTCCTCCCAACTGATATCACAAGTATGATTCAAAGCACTACAGAACAGTGCCTCCAGTTGCCCATTCACAGAGGTCGTCCAGGAGGATACAGTATCAAAAGTCATGGAAAGGTCCAAAGGAGTAACAGGGTCATGCTTCCCCTGTCTCTCGCCCAAAGAAAGTCATCCAACAAGGCACCCAAGGCAAATTCCATCCCAGACCATCCAAATTCCATTCGTTATGCATTCTTAGATGTGTTTGATCACCCTCATGGTGAGCATTACACCATTTATGCTGACCTGTTTCACTGCCTGGAGCTGCCCAGGAACTGGAGCTTCACGATACTGAAGAGGGTACTCGGGAGTGGCAGTGTCAATGGCCCAGTGCACCCTGCATTGTGGCAAGGGCCTCAACAGAACTGCTGGCTCTGGCTAATGAAAAATTCATGGCAACATTCAGGAATTCCTTGGACTGTGTGTCTTCAGGGCCAGAACATCTGAATGGGAACAGTTTTATCAGCTTAACAGGACCGGGTGTCAGTCTAAATTCATGGTTATACTATCGTGAAATATGTTCAAGGCTTGTAAGACACGTTTGTAATGATTGGCTATT